ACAAGAATGCGTATCTCAAGTCTCTCACCTTTCCTAGATAGATTATGGCTCCTCTTGCAAATTTCCCAAATGAACAGAAAATGGCAAGTCCCAGGGCACCTGGTTAAGTGTCTTAACTCTTGATTTTGGCTCAGGTCATGATCTCAGGGTTGTGAGATTAAGCCCCATTCCCCATATTGGGCTCCACGCTAGGCATTGAGTCTGCCTAAGATTCTCTCTCTCCCTCCTCCCCTCCCCTCTTCCTCTTAAAAAAAAAAAAAAGTGGTGGCGGGGAGGGGACATCCCAGTCAAAGACTTAGAGCAGCCCAGAAGCCCAGAATAACACCATCCTTCTTTGGAGGAGAAAAGGAGGTTGGCTAGTTATACACACATACACACAACTGTTGAATTAATGAAATTTAAGATAATGACTCACCATTGAAACTTTAGCTTCCTAAAAATTACTGCAGGGTACAACAGTTTTTAAAATGTATATTCCCTATTCCTTTAAAGAGACAACGTATATATAATAATCAGTCATTATATTTTCAGAGAAAGGTAAATCACTGGCAGCAACATTTCTCTATGCAAACGTAGACAGATAGACCAGTGTATGCTCTATTAGGAGAAGAAACTGTTTCAAGATCAGGTGTAGTTTTTGGAAGCTCTTATTCATGTCTCAGTGTACCCTGGTTCAAAGGACCGGAGGATTAGAATAGAATAGAATTTATTAATTCCTTCATTCAACAAACATTGTTGTAATTGTGCTTGGTGCCTATGTTCCACTTAGTCCTATCTTTTAATTCTTTGATGATAACTAGCTGATGTGAAATTGTAAACATACATATAGAACAATGAACATTTCATTTCAAATTATTGGCCAGATTTTCCCCAGGTTCAGCTCAGGCTTGCTTATGATCCAATAATGATGCATCCCGGGAATTATGATCAATAATGCAACCATAATGAGGTATGGTATTTTCCATTAAAAAATCATTTCAGATACAGGACCTCTGCTGATTATCTCATATAAGTAATGAGTAATTTTTAAATAAAGTTTTTGTTCTACCAGGTTTTTCTCCACTGGATGAGTGACAAATTAAAAACATGGCAAAATTAGGCCAAAACTTAGATCTCAAGAATACCCTGTCCCCTTCTCCTTATCACCTCTTAAAAATAAAGGGACTATTTCCCTCAGTGCTATCCACTTGGAGCCCCAGTAACTAGATGAACAGATCTGTTTCTTCTCCATCCTATCCTTATTTACACAGCCAGGATATTGGGTTCATTCTCTGAGATCTCCTCTAATTCTTATTTTCTCTGAATTCCCCCTTAAACTCTCCTTCCTTGCAAGAACGCCCCCCACCATCCTAGACAGCCCTTCAGCCCGCCATTTTCTTAACTCTTCATGGAACATACGTAGTCTAAGCCTTGGGTTCTTTCATTCTAGATGAATGGCTACCGGAAAAAGATCAAAGATGCTACGGAACAAACAATGGCTCTTGTTGCTGAGCTGTCCATGAAACAAGCTCTGGCCATTGAACTCCAGAAGGAAGTCAGGGAGAAAGAAGACTTCATCTTCTCTTGCAGTTCCAGGATAGAAAAGGGCCTGCCACTCAATAAAGACATTGAGAGGGAATGGTTGAAGGTACTTCGAGATGAAGAAATGTATGCCTTGGCCATCGCTGAAAAGTCTCAGGTAAGCTTTGTCTTCCACGTCACATTTGTAAAGTGTGCCAGGAAGGGCCATTTTCAGGGATTTCCATCCTCCCAAAATATATGAAAAATTTCCCACTCTACCACACACTTAGTTCTGACAATCATTAGAGAGGAGTTTTGCTTAAGACAGGACGTAGACAAGTCAAAATCATAGTCCAGAGTGCCATAATATTCTCCAGAAAACACTCATCGAGCACCAAGGCCCAGCCCACAGTCTTATGTCATGGCCTATGTGGCTGAATGCCATGGACTCCCATTGGCAGGACGGTGGCTGGGCTGGCACTGGTTTTATCAAAGGTCTGTAGTCTCTGTCCTTTGCACCCTGCTGAGAGCACACCTTATTCTCCCACATCTGGCTACCGGGGCCCCCACAGCACACAGTGAGGCCTCCAGCATCTGCCGGTTGTCACAGCCCTCTGCAGACTCTGCCCTTGGTCTGTGTCATAGGCCTCAAGGTCACAGCCTTCTTCTCCTACCACTGGCCTCAGTCTAGGTCTATCACTGACTGCGCCCGCATGTGACCTTGAGGTTCAGAGCAAGTTGCTGACCACTTCTCTCCTCTGGTTCTACTTTACTCCTTAGTTCCTCCTTTGTAACATTTGCTCACGAATGACTTACTCCAGCCTTTTTCAAAAAACGTGGAAATACTGAGTGCTTGATGAACAATATTGAAGCTGGAATACAGTGAATTTAGGACCCACTAACCCGTTTATGGTAAACCCTAAATCCCAGGAACAGAGTAATGCTTGAGTAACACAGGTCATTCCAATGAGACGCAGTGTGTGTGTGTGTGTGTGTGTGTGTGTAGTGACGCCATCCTCATAATCTCCTGTCCCTTTGGGAAAATATCAGCCAGCACAGCCTAAGGCTGCTCAGATCCAGCTGTGTCTGCTGGGCCCTAAGGATGAAGTGACTTCACTATAGTTTTCAGAGAACTAAAAAGGAAAAATCATTCTTTGCAGGAGTTCTTGGTAGCAGATAACCGCCAGTTGCCCAGTGGTGTTTACACAACTGCAGAGCCACGTCCAAATGCCTATATCCCAGAGGCGGAGGCCACTCTTCCTTTGCCCAAACCATATGGCGCGTTGGCTCCTTTCAAGCCCAGTGAACCGGGGGCCAATATGAGGCACATAAGGAAACCTGTTACAAAGCCAATTGAAATCTGAGCATGTGAACCAATCTGGGCTTCTAAAGGAGACACTTTAACCAGGCTGCCTCATATGCCCATCTGGAAAGTTCCAGCGTAATGGCTCTAAATTACAGACAAATGCAGTATCCACAATCGACCAACAACGGAGAACAACATGGCTTCCTTTTATATTCATCAGCTACTATATTTTACATGATGTTAAGTAGGACATAGAATTTTCCTACAATTATGTCAAAGCATATTTCTGTATTGTTCATCTTTTTCTTTTTCACTGTATATATTGACTACCTTTCAGAAATACATAGTAGTCTAGGTGCTATAAAAAATAAATCAATCTTCAATGCAGTACAGAAATTGGCAGCATGGTCTTTGTTTATTGAGGAAGAAAAAAGCAAATACTGTTCAATATATTAACTTGAAAGAGAAAGATAGAATCATTGTTTGAAAAGGAAAATATCCCAAGTATCACAGAGGTTATAATTCACTTTGTTAAATAGTTGGGCGTTTGAAGTTCATGTTAGTAAATGTAAATCAAGTAAAAAGCAGTAAGGAAGCTTGTCCTTTTAAAAGTAATATTATGGTCATTCTTTTTACAAGTAAAGAATCCTTTTGCTTCAAAAAATAATTATGCCCTAATTTATCTTTCCTATAAATCTAAATTTTTTACAACGTTACATACAAATAAACCTGTGATTAAGTTCTGACTCCAGATTTTTAAAAATTCCAATGAAAACATTTATAGCTTTGCCTGTGGCAGAGTTGAAAGTGAGGCCAGTTCCACTTACTTCATTACTCTGATTTTATTGCATTTCACCCATATTTTCCTAATTCTGTTTTTATATTTTCTCATGTATGAAAATACCCAAGTGGATTTTAAAACTGATTTTACTTCATTAATATGTTCAAGCCATTTTTCATATTGGTGTCAGGTATGGATTTTGTGTCACAATTCTGGAAGTGAGAAATACCACATTCCTTCTTCTTCTCCTTTTTTTTTTTTTTTTTTTTGCTAAATGAAACAAAATCTGTTCCAAGCCCCTATCCTGCCAGAATGGAGGGAAATTTAATCTCATTCTCAGCCTACAAGTTAGTCCTGAATCTAACTTGGTTGTTTTATAAAGTTATTAAAAAGCAAAGTGCCTGTGATAAGTAACAGTGTGTGGTTAATACAAAGAAATACTGCATACTTAAACACAGCTCCTGTGTTGTAGGAATTAGTATTTGCATCAGGGATCCCAAAAATAGACCTGTAGGAACAATGTGAGAATGGAAACCTAGTTCTTTAACACAAAGGGATGGATGTTTAAGTATTACAGCCTGTGCGACTGGTGCATACAGAAGGAGCCACTGTGTGTTGGCGTGGCTGGGCGGTCACTATCAGATGGACCGGTTTATCCGGCCCTTAAACACAAGTAAGATTTTAATAAGTGGGCAGGGGCTTCCAGATGGGGGAAATAGCGTAAGCCAGGCTCGGAAGTAAGAAGACAAAACTGTTCAAGGCCCAGCGAACTGACCTGGCTGGAACAGCATGTTCATGTCAGGGAATTGTGTAAGGCCGGGATTTAGGAAGCGCTGAATGTCAAGGAGTTTGGGTCTTATCCTATAATGAAGGGCTATGGGCAGAGGGGCGACAGAACCAGTCTCAGTGTAAGTCAGATGACTCGGACTTCAGAAAGACACTGAAACCGCAAGTATGAAAGGGTAGGGAGTGAAAAATAATGATCTTGAGATTTTGAGCCTCTGTGACAACTACATATTTGACCAAAAAGGGAAATTCTGTAGGAGAGGGCAATTTTGGGAACACAAGTATGATTTTAGACAAGAAGTTGAATTATTGTACTAGCTATTGATATTTATAATCATGACAATTTCACAAGTTCACCTGGAGAAATTGTGAAGAGAGAAAAGCAAAGGGCACCGGCTGACCCCAGGCAAGTGACTACCGTTATGGGTCAGAATGAAGTCACTATAAAAGAGAGAGGGAAGAAAAAAGAAAAGTGGGAGAACTAGTTAGGTGCCCCGGGGGCCCTCAGAGAGGGAACATGCTCATGCACTCATGATTCCTGGCTGGAATAGAAAGGCTATGTTCAAAAAACGAAAGACTCAGGCCAAAACCTTCAGTGTTTCTTCTTCTTTTTTTAATGAAAAGATATTACTAAGTCAAACTTTTATAAATACAAAAAACTTGAACATATTAAAGTACAGTTCCATCTGAACAATCACAAAGACAAATCCTACTCTCAATACCGCTATGTACACACTGCTGCATATGACAAATTATTCTCTACTGGAAATAGCAGATTTGACCTGGTCCAAATTCAGTTCTTTGAAAAGTATCCTCTTTCCAGATAGAGTTCTTCTGTAACTAATTTTTCTGCTTGTCATATGTTATCTTCAACAACACATCTAGTTTTTTTCTTAGCACCGTCCCCTACATTTTTTAAAGCATAATTTTATTTCAGAGTGCAATACAAACTCGCTTTTGGCCTGTGAAGTCATTAGGAAGGTAAGCCACTAAGTCGTCACTGAGGACACAGCATCCCTCTCAGACTGTTCTGTCACTCCTCCCGACTTGACTGCTTGTCTGCTTTTCAAAGCTGGGGTGAGGTAGAGCAATTCAGTTCTGTCTGAACAAGTACCAAACTGGAATTCAGATGGCTTAACAATATATTCTGATTTTGGTTACCAATTTTAAAGAATTGTAAAGGACTCTTGACGGAAGTCAAGCTAATGCACAAGATTAAAATACTGGGAGCGGATACAACTGCATTTTCTCTTTCATAAGCCTAAAAGCATTGTGGTGTGTTTCAGAGCTGCTTCCTCTACAAATTTTGCATCCACATTGTCATGTCCTTCAAGAGCATACAGAGCTGGAAAAATAAGGAGAAAAGAGTTACTGTGTAGCCATGGAACTTCTGTAATCACGTTGTGTCTGCAGCTCATTGACATCGTAATTACTTTATATTTTAGTAAAACACATTACTCTGAAAATGTGTTGTTAAAATTTATTCTACCTCAGCCCCAAGAAAGGTCATTCGCATCAACCATATGGGTTTTGAGCCTTTTACACCTGCTTAAAACCTCAAAGGTGATTATTCCTTTGGTAATGTACTCTCGGATTAATCAGTGTGTTACTGATTAAAACTAGCTGCAGTAAGGACTACTTAGAAGTAAGGGGTATTCCAGAAAGAAAGGGGTCCACAGAAGTGAATAGGGACTGATGCCTCAAGAGAAAAGCAGGAACGCCCTGAAGTTACCTTGACTGGAAGATTCTCTATCGGTCAGTATTTCAATGAAGTAGTTCAGGGGCAGGAACTCCACACTGCCTGGCGACTTGTCAATCATAGAACTCCGGGGCTAAAAGGGAAACCACTTCTGGTATCAGCTGATTCTCCAAAACAAACACAAACTTAAAAAAGGGGGCTGAGGGGCGCCTGGGTGGCTCAGTCGGTTAAGCGACTGCCTTCGGCTCAGGTCATGGTCCTGGAGTCCCCGGATTGAGTCCCGCATCGGGCTCCCTGCTCGGCGGGGAGTCTGCTTCTCCCTCTGACCCTCTTCCCTCTCGTGCTCTCTATCTCTCATTCTCTCTCTCTCAAATAAATAAATAAAATCTTTAAAAGAAAAAAGGGGGGGCTGAGAACTACAGTTGCTGTCTCCGTGGAGATGATGAAATGGGCAAATAGGATCCAACAACATTTAGCGGGGCTGTGCTTGCTCGCAGACTCACCTGTTTCTTATAGTTTAGCAGCAGTCGCTTCACATGGTTCCGGGAAATGATGTTAGAACTCATAGGATGATCCCAAAGTCGGCAGATCTTCTGACCAATAAGCTATTATGCAAATTGAAAAATATGTACAGCGGGATTTTTAGGGCAGTGAAACTACTTTGTACAATACTCTAATGATGGATCCATTGCATTATACGTTTGTCCAAATGCATAGAATGAACAACACCGAGCGTGAACCCTAATGTTAACTATGGACTTTGGGTGATTGTGATGCGTCAATGCAGGTTTGTCAGTTGTAACTCATGGACCACGGTGGCGGGGGATGCTGGTAATAGGGGAGGCTCTGCACATGTCGGGGCAGGAGGGTGGACAGGGAAATCTCTAGACCTTGCACTCAATTTTCCTGTGAACCTAAAACTACTCTAAAGAAATTAAGTCAATAATAACAATAAAAGAATGGGAAAAAGTACGAGAGGAGAATGTAGCTTATACTGCATTAAGTACATGTACCTTATACCTACTTATAATTTAAAAAGGATTATTCCAAAGTAGCTGGTTAGTCTAAAAGAGAGGCCCTTTATGGTTAATGACCCTTGAAGAAAGGCCATTTCCTATGAGGTGTGCCTCTGAATTTTGAATAAATACTCCCTTAAATTCAACCCTGAGGAAAGTAGTTTATTCACTGATGTTGCCAAATTCTTTTTCTGAAATGGAGTTCATCTGCTACTTTTCAAAACTGGGTACCTGCAACTCTAAGTGAGGTCTTGATAGGAAACAAAAGGTTGTTCTCCCCAATGTCCTGCCCAGAAAATTTTAATTCCCTAAGAGCTTGAGGCAAAGAAAAACAAACAAAACAAAAAAACCAAACTAAATGTTCAGAGACTTTCCCCAGAGAGATCTAGCTGTGGAAAATATGCTTTGTTTTCTATCCTTGCCTTTGCTTCAGTAAGCTGTGAGGAGCAGAGGGTGTTACAAAGGAAAACGATTAGGTCCAGAAGGCAGTGGACATCCCTTCGTGGGAGGATCGTGCCAGAGATACAAGTGCGCAAGGTATGTAAACAGAGCAGAGAGCTGGCCCCGGGCTGGCAGGGTCAGGGAGTTTGCAGAGTCCAAGGTTCTGAAGACCTTGCTGAGGAATTTCATATTTTCATAGTATTTCTGACTCCGAGAGCCAATATCCCCCATCAAAACAAGAAGTGCCTGGCAAACCCTTTCTGTCATGTTTCTTGTTCTTCCTTCAACCTGGGAATGTTTTCCTGCTGTGGTAGAAAGGGCAGTGGGAGGAAATGCAGTTCCAGAACCTTCTGACCTCACCTGGATTTAAATTTCTTATCAGTTTAAATGCCAAAAAACACCTGTTTCCCCTCTCCCTCCCCTCAGACTCATAGATGTAAATATTAGTGCAGTTTCCTAAGAGGGGAAAATGGCTAAGTGTTTCAGGCAGGCTGTGCCAGGCAGTACAAAGCCAGAGGAACAAGCATTTTGTCGGCGCGGCAGGGAATGGCCAACGGGCGTGAAGAGGGATGGGATTTCTGGGAAAGGACTGAAAAGTAAAACAATTCAATTGACTTTAGCCCAAAACAAGTAAATGCTCCCTTTGCAAGAAGAAACTGAAGGAGGTTCGTACCAAGGCTTATGGAGAGAATAAAATATAATCAAGGATTACCGGGGGAAGCCGCACAATGATGCTGAATTTTAGTTTTTCATTTTTCTCTGAATTGTCCAGATCTACAAAAAAGTTAGATTGGCAAATAAAACAAATCTCCATTTTAATATGTGAGCAAGCTAATAATAATACTTCAGTGGTTCATTCTGATAAGACACATTCCCCACCCTGGATTCTCAAGCTGAAGTCTGAAAATACCTTGAAAATTTTGGTTTGTTGTCTGAATACAAGGGCTTTCTCTTAATGAAGCAGTTTCTATATGGCATGGAACATGGTGCTGTAACAGGCTTCCACTCACAAAACAATTTTACGAAGTGAAAACAGAAGGCACCTTGGGGAACAGCAAATACTTTAACATATATGAACAAAACTCGTCTATAAAATACCACAACGAATAATTTCAGCAAGTGATTACACTGGAGACCTTCAAGTTCAGATTCACATGAGCACTGCATCTCTGTCTTTCTTGCATTTCCAGTCTAAGTCTGCGATGACAGAGTTAATCAGCTGAAAGTAAGCCATTTCATGACATTTTCTTGAGAAACAAGCCTTCAGAGTCTCCTATCCTCAAGTGCCCTCATGTACAGAAAAGGAATGTAATAGCTGTGTGTGGATCGAGAAGCCCTCTGGGGCCTCTTGAAGGTCTGAGGCACTTCAAATTAGCCCAAAGCCTGGCTACAGGAAATGAACTGTACTCAGCAGGACAAGCGGCATAATTTGCAGAGTCCATTGCAAAAGGCAAATGAGGATCCCCTTGTTTCAATACTAAGGATTTCAAGATTTAATGTGGAGCATTACCCCGAGCATGGGGCGGCCCTGAGTGCACGAGGGCCCTGTGAGACCACATGGGTTGCACACCACCAAGCCCGTCCTGATGGGGCTCAGGGCTGGGCAGGCACTGTGGCAAACTCAGAGCCTCTTACCTTTCATGAGCCTTGTGACAGCCGTTTCGGTGAGAAGCAACACCCCATCATCAATGTAATGCAGCAGGTTATGCAAAGGGAGACAGTGCACGCCGAGGAGCGTGTGCAGAGTGTGAAAACCTAGGCAAGAGATTGGGAGGGTAAACAGGGTCAGCCAGCATCTCCAGGCTTCTAGAGGGAGCAAATTCAATGATGTTACTGAAGCCCTTAGCTCAGCGCCTTGGCACCGAGAGTCTAATAAACACTGCTTGAAGACACGGTCCGAGTCTCCTGCTTTGTGTTAACCTAAGTAGTGTGCTGGGTAGATATGAGTTCCCAACAAGCGCGTGTGTCCCTTCCTAGGCAAAAAGACAGAAAGAGGGCAGGGACTGCTCGATGAAAAACAGTTTTACAGTTTAATAGGTTTGCAATTCTGCGGTGAGATGGCAAAAAAGAACAGTTAAGAGCCTCAAACGCCAGATGCCCAGGCTGAAAGGCTGACAGAAAGGGACCACTTTGCCAACACGGAAAAATTTTGAACCGGTAGGGGACACTCTATATGCCCGACCTCTGTGTATGCCCTAAAGAAGGGCTTTTGGGGTCTAGTTGAACTAAATTATAAAAAAAGAAAAATTTAAATAATATGGTCAGATAGCAAATCTATAGGAATTCAACAGAGAGGAAGGCAACTCCCTCAAACCTAAGTCTTGTGGGGAGGGTTACTCAAACCCTTAGAAACCGAGAGTTCTAAGCACACAATTAGTAATAAACAATAAAAGCAACACCCATGGGAGAAGAAGATATCAGTCCAGGAGAGAAGGAGAAAAGCCCTCTTGGAAAAGACAGCACATGAGTGGAGCTTTGAAGAGTAAATGCAATTCCTGGGGGTGGCAAGGAGGCCAGAGGATACACCGAGTGGAGACAGTAGAAAAAACCACCTTGTCGTGAGTAGACCTATACTAGAATCCTCCTGTGTTACTTACTAACTACAGGTAAGTAGCCTCTGTGTGCCTCCCTTTCTTCATCCCTAGCATGAAGCCACCAGTAGCTTTCCCACATGGCTGCTTGGAGAACTAACCCTAGGTCTATGAAGAGCCTAGCACATGGCTGAACAACAGCGACCATTAACAAACACGTACTGAGGCCTTCAATCTATGCATTGGGTAATTTGATCCTCAACACCATGAGGTGGGAACCACCTGATTCCCATTTTATCATTGGGGAAACCAAGATTCACAGGAGCTAAGAAAGTTGTCCAGGATCACATTGTTAGTAAGTGGCCGAGCTAAAGTTGAAAGCAGGCTATGGGACTTTAGCTGAGGCTCTTACCCATGACATTATCCTGCCCCAAGAACTGGTAGCTGGGTTAATGGAACAATATGAACAGAGGCCCAAAGGTGAGAAAGTATGGGGCATGTTCAGAAAGTACTACATGACCCAACTGAGTTGGAATCAGGTGTACGAGAGGAATGGTAGGAGGTAAAGTTGGAATTTATTTAACAAATCCCTTCCAGACACCAGACCAGGAGCTGGGTATACAATAATGAGGAAAACAGACCCCACAGCTGCTCCCATCCACCTTCCAGTCCGATGGGAAGACAATCAAATAATCACAAAAATATACATTCTTAAACATGTGACCAGTTTGGGGCACCTGGGTGGCTCAGTCAGTTTAGCATCTGACTCTTGGTTTCAGCTCAGTTCATGATCTCAGGTTCATGGGATTGAGCCCTGCTTCAGGTTCCAGGCTCACCGGGGAGTCTGTTTGAAAGTCTCTCTCTCCCTCTGCCCCTCCCCCTGCTTGTGCATGCTTGCATGCTCTCTCTCCCTCTCTCTCTCAAAATAAATAAAATCTTTTTTTAAAAATGGCCAGTTCTATGAAGGGAAAAGTGCAGGGTGCTCTGAGTGCACACGACACGGACTGAATGCTGAATGCCAGTGAGGAATTTCTCATTTAGTAGGCTTTGGGGAGGGACACTGAGCAAGACAGAAAAAAGGATTTGAGTTTTACTCTTGGAATATTAAAATGGCAACAGGCAAAGAATGGACTGGAGTACGGACAGTTTGCTACAGGAGGTACGTAAGACAAACGTGTTGGGAGGCCACTGCGTGAACCTGCGCCACAGGTAATGAGGACGCAGGAAGGAAAGGACCGGAAGCGCGTGGCCACAGGTCCAGACTTGGAAGTTGATGAGGTGTGAAGAGGGAATAACAAAGGATCACAGCCTAATCCTAGGCGCTTACATGACAAAGAAATGATGCCCAAAGAGCAGGAACTTGAATTCAGAGCAGTCATGGAGTTTTCTCTCCCTGAGCACATGAATCATGAGCAGTGAGGGACTGAGGCCTAAGTCTTGGCCACATCAAGGGTCAGATAAAGTGCGGACTCTGCCCACAAGCAGATGTTAAGGGGCTGACAACAAGATGACTCCACTGGCAATCCAAAAAAACCTGATTTTCTGATTTTACTAACTAATCAGCAACATGAGAGTTTTTTTTTAAAGATTTTATTTATTTATTTGGGAGAGAGAGGGCAAAGGAGAGGGGGGAGGGTCCGAGGGAGAAGCAGACTCCCCGCCGAGCAGGGAGCCCGATGCGGGACTCGATCCCGGGACTCCGGGATCATGACCTGAGCCGAAGGCAGTCGCCCAACTGAGCCACCCAGGCGCCCAACATGAGAGTTTTCAAATGGATTTGGACATTCTTCCCAAGATTAAAAAAAGTTATGAAACTCGTTCTGAAGAAAAGTTTATTACAGGTTCCTGTAGATGTCCTGGGTTCGGATTTCCTCCTGCAGCCCTGCATCCATGTCCTAAAGATCCCCGATGGCCCTTCCTCCTCTATCCCTAGGGCACAGCCCCATATCCAACAGTCTGCTCTTGGCTTCCTCTGCATGTCAGCTCCAAGCAACAGAACAAATTGGCTAAAAGTGGGCATCAGTTCCAAAATAGAGCTGTTCCAGCCAACTCCAATCCTCACCCTCCAGGGCTCCCGGCCTCCGCTAGCCCGTGAGGGGCGCACAGGTCCCATTTAAATTACAACTGCTCCAGCTCCACACCGTGACTCCCTTTTTGGTCCTCATTCCCTTTATTCTTTAACCGGTTGGGTTGCAAGTTTCCAACACTTGAAAATCAAACAGTTCTCACTAGTCCAGCAGGCTTGGAAAGCAAGCACACATACAAAAGTACATGAGAAAACACCCTGTATTTACCCACACATGTGCACACCCATGTGACCCAGTGTCACTTTCCATGTCACATGAGGGAAACGAACGTTTAAGAGAAACGGACAGAGATACTTGACCCATGGACACAAACCATTAAGTCTACTCATAATAATTCTCAATCACTATGGATAATGTTTTTCCATGTTTTCCCTCCTTACATATCCCTGGGAAGGAGTGTGATGCTTCCTAGAAAGTAGAGTTTTATGGTCTCCTGGGTATAAAACTGTCCCTAATAAGTCACTTTCATTTATTTACAAATGGGGCTTGAACATCCATGGTGAACAAACCTGAAAAAGTGTCAACCCAATCCTCTACCAAGTCTTTTGTGTTGATGATTAAGAGTTGAAGCCAGAAAGTCATATATAGTTTTCATGAAATCCCTTCACTCTTTCTAGAGGGCACCTGGAAATTCCTATTCTATTGGGATAATTTAAAGTCCTCTGTTCTCCTCATGAATGGTCACTGTCAGATTCATATAAACCAAAGAAACTCCTTGTGCCCTCCACTACCCGCATGTCTTATAAGATAAGGTGTATGGACAGAGAAAGCATGAAGGACTCCAAACTGAGTCAGATGTATCACAAATGCAGACAAGCCAGGACGTGCTATGGGGATTTCTGGGCCCATAAACAGTCAATGTTTTGGCATCAACTAATTCAAATGGAATATAAAATTCAAGAGGCAGCACAGAATAGTCATTAAAAGAACAGATTTTGGAGCCAGACTTCCTGGATTTAAATACTGGCTCTGTTGCCTAATCACTGTGTGACTTTCAGGCAAGTTACATAAACTTTCTGTGCCTCAGTTTCACCATCAATAAAATGAGAATAATATTAAAGTGGAGCCATATGAAAGTGTCTTTTTTTTTTTTTTTAGTCAAAAACTGGTTGGATATTGACAATTTAATGTGGTTCATTTTAAGCTCCTACCATTTAGGACTGTTAGGAAAACTAAATGTGCTTATTTATGTAAAGTACTTACAGCAACTGGCACAAAACGGGCACCATCTACACATTGGCTTAAAATGAAAGAGTAGAGGAATGAATTACTGATAGCTGATGGGATAGATGTATATATATATAAATAAATTAAATTAAACTGGCTGATAAACATTATGTAGTGACAGTTATCATAAAGCTTAACACTCATCAGAACACATATGTAATGAATACAAGGCAGACAGGAGCTTATTTGCTTCTTATAATTAATACATGTTCCCAACTAGACTTCTGTTAATTTTTGCAACTGCTCCAATTTCTAGCACGGCACATGGAATGTAATAAAAAAAAATCAACAAATGGTTGTTTGAGTGAACAAATGACCAATTAAATGAATGACTGCATACACATGGGCCAAGGGTGTTTTGAGGCCTGACTTGGTCCTGTTTCAAAATCCTCAGGGCGGTTTTTAGCTTCCAAGCATGTAAAAATCAGCTACTTTCTGACACCCAGCCAGACCCACTTCCTCCTGAGTGTTAACTTTCTCAATCAGATAAACTAAGCCTGCAGACATCAGATAAACTAAGCCTGCAGACATCCCTGCATCAGCTCCACTGGTTCCAAGTATCCTAGCGAGCCGCATGGGGACCAGCCTTGGCTCCCTAAAGTCAGTGACGAGCCACAGCAGAATTTAATAATCGGGGGACATCTGGTCTGCAGAGACCAATGTCAGGCCCATCTCTCAAAGTGACCCCAGACGCACAAGTTCTCAGACACAGGTCGTCTCATCCTTAAATGTGTAAGGCCTGGGGACCACGTGAAGAAGAAAGAACAAATGTTTTACAACAAAGGACAAAAGAGCCAAGACTTACCAGGAGGCAGAGGTAAAAACAAACTCGTAGTCGCTTTCAGAATCCTGGTCATGATGTGGAAGACTGTAAATTCAGCAGCACTGGCCCGCCTGCTGCTGGGTAAAACGACAGAGCCGCCGTCAGCCGAGGGGTTCATCCCTAAAACTCCATTTGTCTGAGCAGTGGCTCTGAGTATCACCCAGAGATGGAATCCATGCTCACTGTGAAGCCTCATAAGTATGATGGAGACCATCAGCCTAAGGCCTAGAATCTAACCAGACAGTGGGCACATAAATGATCGATTGCATTAACTCCAATTCCCCTTCCTGGCCGTCCTGAACTCACACGCCCCTCCGTCCTCATCAACCACATGCCAGGGAGAGAGTGTGGTGAAGCCACAGGGCGGTTCCTTTAAATGCTGAGTACAGAACTCAGACAGCGTCAGGGCTGGTGACAACTGCTTTCAGTCGTTAAGTTCCACAAAAGCTTTGCCACAACAGGCAGCAATTAGAGTTGTTTTAGCTCTTTATACACCTTGATGAGGGAGAGGGAGAAATACTTGCGTACAAGTGGAGAACCGAGGGGTGAAGATGATGTTTCCTCCAGCTGGTTTCCAGGATTTGGCAAATGAGATCCAGCTGGAGGATAAAGACAGTCTGTTACCCTTCGCCCATACCCTCTCCCTGGGGGGGTCCCTACAGCGAGCCCTCTGCAGGCCTGACAGGCCTGTTCAGGGCAGCTGGTGGTTAGCCTGGGCCCAGACACAGAACCAGCCTTTCTGCAGGCAATGCTGACACACTGGAATCCAAAATGGAAAAGACCAAAAATGTGCACCAGAGTCTAACAGAGCCCCTTCTGTCTACACAGCCAGTGCCCCCGCTGAGCATCCCCAGCCCCGTTAACAGGCCCTCAGTCACAGGCCCTCTGCCATCAGTGAAGGTCAAGTACAACTGGATTTGCTCTAGGCCTGTTATATGACAAAGGCCAACAGCTGACAGTGAGAAGAAGAGAGGCACAGAACAAGACAGGGGTCCTGAGCATCGACTGTGGAGCATGACCGGCTTCAAGTCCAGGTCAGACATTTGACTAGTTTGTCAGCAACAGAGCAGTCTCCATGGGGCTGTGATCCACCATGAATCCCGTGCCCTGCACCTAGAGGCGAAGGACAGGGCGGCAATCGGAACGGATCTCCATATGGGCACAGATAAAAACAGTTCGTTCTCAATGACACAGATTCTCAGGGTCTCTTTGGCTGAAGTCAGGTAAGATGACTCGTAAGCGATATCGTCTGGTTCTGCAGCAACTTCCTCCATTTGTTTTAGAAAGCCCCATCGGCCGCCCTCCTGAGCGGACTGGGAGACATGGCTGTTTGCAGGAGCAGGTAGGTCTGGCTACAGTCGGTGACTGCCGAGTCAGAAAGTTAGGGGCACTGAGTTTGCCTAGGCTACATCCCTACCACTTCTGGTCCTATTGGTCCCAATGGTTGTTAACACAGCCTAGTGTTAAAACTTCTATGTGATTAGGAAGAATGATGCTTGAACAAAAACGCTTAATACTTTGGAAGGTGAAATTTAAAGTCAACAGAAAGAAAGATGATAGATGGACATGTTAAATAGTTGTGTTATTAAAGGACAAAGAAAAGTAGTTAATACCAGCATGGGGAAGATCAAAGCCACATTCATAAAGTGAGCTCCTTGATACAGTTCTACCAGAAAGAATTATTATTTAAGAAAGATTCAATGCCAAAAAAGAAAAGGTTCAATGCCTTGCTTGTAAATATCAATATATGAGAATGCCAACCTCTCCTAATTTATTAAAACTTGTGAAATTCAAAGATATTTAAAAACAGACACCAATGACTACAATAAAGGCAGAAAATTTTAAAATTAAACATGAAATTCAATCAGGGCCATATCAAATACGTTTAATCTTCCAGAGTTCAATGCAAAAATATATGTTCACACAACTAATCATTTGCATACTGGTCTTACCCAAACTTGGAGAAATGGAGTGTTCTTTCTCTTTCTGTGAATTTAAATACTTTAAGAATTTGTCTAGCATATTACTTCTAGGTTCTAAGTAGGGTCAGGCCTCAACTCCATATGCTTTCTGAGAGACTCAAGACCGCCTCAAAATTTGGTGTAGCCATTATCACTTCCATTTACACATGGACTGGTGTTATTAATTGGAATCACACAATTTCAATGGGTGGCTACCAGGTAGATGGGCTACCCAATCCCACCAGCAGACTCGAATGTGGTAGTATTTGTACAACTGAGCTAGAATCTGGCCTAACTGGGCTGTTGGCACTCATTAAGAATTTAAGTTCAAGTTCTCTCATGTCTTCATAAACCTCCATGTACAGAAATCATTACCTATGGTTTAATAAGATGCTGGAAGATGCCAAGATGACATGTGAACATTTGGCAACCATACTAAGTTCATCATTGTTCTATGCTTCCATGAACATATAAATCACTATTTGAAGGGAGTAAAATAAACCACTTTCATAACCAAGTCCTCCTTGGTTTTTTTGTTCTTTTTTCCCTTTTTTCAATCTATAGCACCAAATATACCGGTTTAAGGACAGAAAATCTGCAAAAGTCTAATCTGAAAAATATACTGAACCGCCAACTGGGAGCTACATACTGAGGGAGTGGGGGGTGGCAGGATAGAGAATAAAAAAGCAAAACCAACCAGTTTCGAAATGTAGTCCAGAACCATCTGTTCAATTTTCTTCTTTTCTACACCCTGTAGGTGTCTCAAAAGATGGTCTTTTAGCTCAGACACCATCTGAAAACAGGACATGGATTAGATAAGTCACAACCTATCCACTCACACCTGCTACAGGTTGAAACTAGATCCATTTATTAACACTCTTTACCAACACGAAAAATACTGGACCTGAAGATCCCATTGGCGGAAATGTACAACCCACAGTGTTACTACTTTAATGGGCATAAATCAGGGACACCAACGTTCCTCACGAGGAACTGCTGATGATTCACCCAGAGCCCAGTGAGCAGCCAAGAGTCAGATTCCCACCCCTGATGAGAATTCTCCAAAGAAGCTGAGGGAAGCCACTAACTTAGAAGTCAAAGGTGAAAGTCTATTGCTCCCAGACCTGGAGAACTAACAGGAACAACTGTAATCATGGAGTGACTGTGTTGATGCGGGGTGGGGGTGGAGGGTTGAGGGGGGTGGGGTGTCGTGGGGAGAGGCATGCTTTGGGGCATTTGGACGGATAGAGGCAGCAGTAAAAACGAAATGCTTCAGGTACCTCCCTCTGTGCAGTGGCTCTAGACATTGAACACAGCGCCCTGACATGCAAAAGTAATGAAATTATTGATTCTATCACCTCTGAACAGACTTGTATATCTACTCTGTTCTCATCTTTCTTGGAGCTCACCAATCCGTGTAGCATCCCAGCCCTCCCCGCCTTTTGCTCTTTTGGCTCCTTCTCCTTTCTCCCTCTTTGGCCTAAATGTCCTCCTCAGTTGGAGGCCAGCCTCGCTAGAGATCTTTGCACCAATGAACACCATGGGAGTTGTACAATTGATATCATATGCTCACATATTATGTCAGCAGATTTACATATATGACACCCTGAGCAAAACTTAGCCCATGGCACTCCGGGCCACGTGTTAATTAATTAGGCTTAAAATTTTTAAATTTTTTAAAAAAGATTCTTGCATGCTTTTTTGTGCTTTTCAATTTTTCTACGACAACATAAAGATGAAAATTTAAATCACCCATAATCCTATCGTCTGTGTTAACATTTTGGATTTTTTATTTTCCTTTTCTCCAGTGTGCACACTCATTCCAATGTTTTCTAATTTGCTTTTTTTTTTTCATGTAATAGTTTATGTCATTCAATACTCTTTACCACACTGGTTGTAAATGGCTGCACAGTACTCAATTTTAGGAGAAAGTACTAGAATTGAATTATTTATTCTCTTCTTACACATATGGGATACTTCTTCTACGACTGTGAATAGAACTAAAAAAAACCCTTATACATGACTTGTTTGCCATACCCCCAATTATTTTCTCAAGCTAAATTCCTAGAAATGGAACTTGGTGTGTCACGTACTTAAGGTTTACAGAGACACTGCAGAAATGCCTCCCGCGTGGTTATACTAGTTTTCAACTGCATTGCATGAGACTGCCCGATTCCCCGTACGCTGAACTTTGCTAGTGTGATTTTTAAATTTTTGACAATTTCATAGGGAAGCAAACACACACAATTTTTTATATTACATTCTTTAATCTATCCAATATTTCTATTGGTTTATGGCATAAGGTGGTGGTATTGGGATGGGAGGACTCCAACTGTCTTTTGCAAATAGGCAGCCATTGATCGATTAAAAATTATTTCTTTCCAGTGATTATTTTTTAATGCCTAATTTTAGCATACACTAAAGATTCAAATTTAAACTAGTGTCTCCTGTCAGTCTCCTGTTTATTTTGTACAAGCACCATATTGTTTCAATTATTGTAGATCAATAACATACTTAGCTATCTAGTAATGTTAGCTCCACTCCTTTTTGTCAAGTGAGTCACCTGGTCAACTGTCAGAGAAACTTCATTGGCTTTTTTGTTATAATTTTATTAAACCTAGATGCTCAGGATTTGGAAATGGAATAATGTTTTTCATTAATTTTTCTAACTGGTTAATCCTTATAAAAAAGAAAGTAAATTTAGAATCACCAGCTTATTAACTTGTTCCTTAATACTTTCCATTTCCCCTGGTGATTATTTTGTTTGTTTGTTGCACTGGAAAATCATAGCATCTTCTTTTACTTTTGTTTCTTATTGCACTGTATAGAATTTCCAGAACGTAAAATTTTAGTGAAAATAGCAAGAATCTGTAACTTATTTTTTGTTTTTTGACAGAGAGAGTGCGTGCATGGGGCAGGAGTGGGGGAGAGGGAGAGAGAATCTTAAGCAGGCTCCATGCTCAGCGCAGAGCCCGACAGGGAGCTCGATCCCATGACCTTGAGATCACAACCCGAGCCAAAATCGAGAGTTGGACGTTCAACCTACTGTGCCACCCACGCACCCCACTTCTTTCTGATATTAATAAGAATGACCCCAACATTTGATTTAAAAAGATGTTAGCTATCAGTATTAGAATATTTTTGTCTTATTGATTTGGTGTATTCCAGGAGTGGAATTTTACTTTTATCAATTTTAAGCACCTATAGAGATGATCTTTTTTCTCCCTCTTTGACCTAGTGATACGATGAACTACATTAATACATTTGCTAATGATAAGCCTTCTTGGAAAAAAGGCCACTTGGCCATGTTGTATTTTTTCAAATGGACCACTGGAAAATATTTTGATTAAGCTTGTAGTATCTATGCTAATAAGTGAAAGTAAAAGTCGTTAGATTTTGGTTTTAGGGTTATGTTAGTTTTTTAAAGTGATTGAGAAGCTTCCCATCTTTTTTTCAAAAAATACTTTACATAGTATGGGTATGACCTGATCCTTAAAAGTTTGAAAGAACTAACTCATTAAATAATTTGGTGCCTTTTCTGGAGATAATCTCTCTTTTTTTTTTTTTTTTAGAGAGAGAGAGAGTGAGTGCATGTGTGTGGGGCGTGGGTAGAGGGATAAGGAGAGAATCTTAAGCAGACTCCATACCCAGTGTGGAGCTCAACACGGGGCTTAACCTCAGGACACTGAGAACATGCCCTGAGCAGAAATCAAGAGTTGGACACTTAACCAGGCGCCCCTGGGGATAATCTTTGACAAGTTTTTCAAATTATTTTATGGTTATTATGTTTTCAAGGATTTTTATTTCTTCTTGGCTCAAGTTTGGTATTTCTATTTCTCAAGGAAACTTTTACTGGAATTTTCAAATGCGTGAATATGCATTCACACATGTTTTTCTCACATTTTAAAACTTTCCATATTTAAGGTAATAGATTATCCCATTCCTAAGCCTGCACAGGATTAAAGATATTTTACTAGACTTTCCAGATGTCTCTTTAATCAGTTTTTGTAAAGAAATAGATTTTGGATTTATTTATCAGTTCTCTTCCATTCATTTATTTTGATTTCTCTCTCTTTGGTCTTCCTAATAGTAGGACTTCTTGAGAAATGATACTTTATTCTATTGTATTTTAAACCCCAAATACATATGCCACAGAGACATTGTTCTTTCCTTGTTTTAAACACTCAATGCTGTACATTTCCTTATGATGTTTTGTAATTATAGGTTTTGGGCGGTGACTGATTTATATATGTCTCCCCCACTAAATTCTAAAAGTGTGGAAATCTATCTGTGGTGCTTACCATTGAGCACACAGGGCCTACAAGTGGCTGGTAACAGCTATGTGTTAAAAGAATGAGTGAAAAATAAGGTCAGCATGAGCAGCACAATCTAGCTCTTTACACTTTTCTTGGATCCTATCGTTTCGCAGCACCCAAATGGCCCCCAGGCCACTTACCAGTCCCATCAGCAGCCTCTGGGGGTTGTCTTCCTCCTGGAAGAGGGGTGTTAATCTTGGCTCTGAAATTAAACAAAACAATAGTCAAGAAGAGTGGTTTTTGGGAAATGGGCTAGAAGAAGACAAATCAGCCTGGGTTTCCCTTCTCTGAGTTATTGAGAAAATAGACCATTTTGCTGATAGGATGAAATTTTTCATTAGATGTGTGACCTATTCCTGCAAGCCGAACTTATCACCCAGGTGATACACACAGAGCTCTACTCTAACAGACCAGGAAAGAAAGAAAACAAGGCACATATTTCCCAACACCAGTAGGCTCTGGCTTTGAATTCTCTTCAACATGAAAGCTCACCACTGTCTAAGAACCTCTGCTTCACTGGAGTTAGAGACACTTGGGCCCTCTCTTAACCCCAAGGGGGTCATAAACTCTGTGACAGGGACCTGGTGGAAGGATCACATGCCTGCCTTCCTTGTGACCCCCTATAGTTTAGTGACTTTGGGAGTCACTGAACTGAGGGGACCTGTCAATTACTGTAGCAAATAATCCTGACTGACACAAGGTATCCCACTAAAAAGGTAACCAGTTGAAGATGGAAAAGTGACGGGTAAGGTTAAATCGGGTGGCACTGTCTCCGCCATGATTTGCACTATACCAGCAGACTGGAGGGGCAGACACACACAGTCTTGTTGCAAGATGGGCCCTAACACTGCTCTAATTACACCTGCGTGCCCTGCTCCCCCTCTCCTAGAGCAGCTGAGGTCCGCACCTGGCAAGAGAGCAGAGCTGCCCTGGTCAGCGGGCTGATGACACTGTGTGTGTCAAGAGGCACAGGTGCCTCTTGCGCCCTTGGGATAAATCCTACCTGGGTCCCTCGCGAGCTTTCTGATTAAGATGAAGCAATTCAAAACTGGACGCCAACAGCCCTGAATTTCATCCAGATTGTTCTGTTTCTGTTAGTGATGACATTCTTCCTAGGGTGCTAGTGCAAGCCAAGCATGTGAGAGGAAGGGACAAGTTTCCAAAGTGCACGCAGAGAGAATGGCCACAGGATGCAAACAGGCAGAATTACAGGAGTAGGAGCTCCAACAGGGGCAGAGGAGTGATGGACACAACAAAAACCTTGACAACTGGCAACATTTCCCATCCTGCAAACTTTCTAGCTGGGCAAGAAGGGCGAGCCTGAGCCAGGCACATTCACATCCCGGCTGCAGGGCAGGACTCCTGCCCGCCGCTAGTGGGAGAACCCCTGGCTCCGGGCATGGACGGCCTGGCAACACAGCCAGAGGCTGGTTCGCTCCAGATTGCTCAGTGAGCCCAGGCTCTGTCGCCCTGGACTGGATCACAAGTTCGCTGTCCTGGTTCACATGATCTGTGTGCACAGCTGCAGGATGTCCCACAATGCACTGTATAAAATCATTTCCGTTAGGGTCACCCAGCATACACCTAGACATCCAAGCCTATAAAACAAACGTGGGAAAATAACAGCTAAAAATAACAGCTTTTTAAATGGAGCCTGGTCTTTATGAGGCCTGAAAGGGTTCCAGTGACAAAAACCACAAAAAGCTTGTACCTGGATTCACTTAGCCTTCTCTTCCCCCTGTTTTATCCTGTAGGGTGTTTATCAAGACTTACCTCGGATGTCACTCCCTCTGGCAAGCCTTTTCTAAGCTCCCTCTCTTCCCAACCATCCCCACTCCTGACCCAACTCCCCCCACACACACTGTGGTTCTAGAACACCCGTCACCTGGTTTAGAAACAGCATGTTAGCATTTCTTCCTCACACGTTAAGGACAAAGCAGCCATCTGAGGTATCTCGTGCACAAAGCGCTGTACAAGGCGCTATACACATTTCCCCATTCACTCTCACTTTCCTCCTCACCTTGCCCTGAAAAGGTTAATGCACGAAGTGAACACATGGCTTGCCCAAGAGTACACTGTTAACATGAGGCTGGACTGGAATTGAAGCCAAGTTCTGTCTGGCTCCAAGCCCATGCTCTTCCCCCAGAACCACACTGCTTACCCAGAGACTCCTATCGTTGTACTCCTATGACCTAGCCCGGGGAGTGCCCAAATGTTAACCAAAATGAAAGACCCCTGTATGATCAGACAGCTGGAAAGAAAGCAGGCCTAAGCCAGGGGAACTCCCGAAGTGCATCCTGTGGGTACAGCCACAGGGCACGGTAAGTAGATCAAGGCTCTGAAGAAAAATAATGAAAACCAGACGGCCAACACTCAGGGACTCTTCCAGCAAAAGCACATTCAGCAGCTGTCCCTAAAGGTCCTGGTGCCAAGACAGACATGGAAGGAGCTGGGTGGTCACTCTAACAGGGAGATATTAAAGGGTGCTGCCTTCATTGAACTACTGAGCGTGATTTTCTCGCCAACCCACAGGGGTAGGAAACACCGTGTTACAAACCAAATGCTGACTGAAATCCAGAAGGCTTTATTACAGGTCTTTTCTTACCCAAATTCCTTGCTTCTAGGTTAGAAATCACCCTACAAAGAAATTAGCCAACGTTATTCACATAGGAAGATGAAAAAAAAAAAAAAAGCCACAATACCATACAAAGACATCCTCCATAAAACCACTGCAGAAACTGTTCTCAGGCGGCCGAAAACCTCAAACACTTTAATCAACTTGGCAAAAGCCACATTAGGCAATTATAAAATCTCAAAACCCTTTAGCGCTAACAATAACTTAGAACAATCACAGCACTCAGTTATTGGAAATAATGGAAACAAAATAGAACAGGGTTGGAATGGGACTGTACTTGTAGCACTCTGAGATGACTCATCTATCCAGAAAATGGGCTTTCAAAATAAGAGCCAGCTCATCAGCCCACTAACACATTTTAAATGAAACTACTGTCTCTACCCCCCTTAAGTGCTTACTACTTTAGTAAGGGCTTTCTTTACCACTTATCACTTATAATTCATCCGGCCTCAGGATGCAAGTCCATAAGGTTTAACACATACAATTTTCCCACTAGAAGCTCTAGCACCAAACTCAAGAATAGGGCCAAGGTGGCTGCATTCATTAAGCTGACGGCATCATTTTGTTGAGGATACTCAACAAAAGGAAGCTACTTCCATGAAAGGTATCCAAAAAAGTACTTGCAAAAACAGCCATCTAATAGGTACACTAATCCCTAATTTTACTTACTTCATTGCATTATCAAGAATATTCCTCACATACACCATGGACCTTCTTCTTCCTGTTTTCTAGAAGGGAGAACATGTTAGAGGTGTGGAAGGTAGAGGTTTTGTGGGTGCCATTTTTCACACCAAGGACATAATGCGATATAGTAAAGAGTTTCAGAAAAAAGAAATATACTTTCCAGGTACTCAAAACACCTACGTTCTTAAAAATTAGTTAAAAAAGCATTTTAGGCTGAAATTATTATAGATGTAGAGGAAGTTGCAAATCAACTAGACAGTGTTGTGTTACGTACAGTAACACTACGACTACATACGATGCTACAGAGTGATCTCATGTGCGCTTCACCCTCCCCCCCGTTTTTATCTTATATAAAGGACTATAGTGCAATACCAAAATCAGGAGATGGATATTGCTAGAATGAGTGTATAGTCTTACGTCATTTCATCACGGATGTACATTCATGTACCACGATCAAGATACAGAACTGTTCCATCCCCCCAAGGATCTCCCTCATGTTGCCCTGCCTTGTGCTCCCTCGTGTTGCAGTCCCAGCCACTCTTCTTTCAACTATCCATAACCCCTAGTAACCACTAATTCGGGGACACCTAGGTTTTTTAAATCAATTTTTAACTATACAAGCAACGCAAGAACACAGGAAAGACCGGGATGGTAATCTCACTTCTACTCTGAACGTGCTGCGTGTGTCCCTTAACCTCTGTGCACTTGATTTTCCTCCTCAAGAGAAGACAGATCAGAGATGCACTGTGGTCTTCTTACAACAACGCAAAAGGGCCTGGCGGTTAGGGAGAGTGCGGTAAATTGAAACCAGCCTTAGGACGTAAGGGCATCACCTCATCTGACGCACTATACTTTTGCTTCTTGCTTTATTCTTATGAATCCACACAAACCTCTTCTGAGATCAGGCTGTGCCATTCTCTCTGGACCATGCTGTTGTTATAGAGCAAGTGTGGCTTGGAGTACTTAATGTATTCCAGGTTGGAGTTCAGTTTTTCCCAGTAGCCCTTAAAGCTGTGCACCTGCGGAAGACAAAAAGCATTGGTGAGCTTGAGAAGCAGGGCCCGTGGCCCCGACCAACCAGCAAGGACCACCCGAGCCTTGTGGCAAAGCCGGGCTCGCCTTACTTCCTCAGCTCTTAGAGGGCAGCATTTCTGAGTGAATTCTTCCCACGAAAGACGGCATTCTCCACCTGCAGGAGTTCTAAAATAGTAAGACTTAAAGAGTCTTGCTTTCCCCATTTCCTTTTCTACCCCTTTTACAGAAAGCCACTGCCTACTTCCCCAAACCAGCGTGAGTCACCTGGGTTAAGGCTAAGTGGGGAAGCCTGTATTAAACCCAGTGTTGTATTAAACACATCAGATCATTTCCTCTCCAGAGACCCATTTTTCTGACTTAGGTCGTGTCAACAATGCTATATCCAGTCAGAGAATGTGCATAAGACGTACAGCACATGGAAGGGGCTTACTTTCCTGCTAAGTTTATCTACTTCCAAAAGATGTCTTTCAAAACCTAGGAATCAGAAGGGTGGAGTGAACTGGTTTTACCTTCAGTTGTCAAATACTCCAAAACTCCAAAACAGATTTTTTGGCATCCTATCTAGGTCTTTGACATATTGCTATAATTGAAGCAATATTGTATCCATTATGTTCGTTTTTAAATACCATGCAATACTAATACAGTTTTTAATACTGAAGGATGTATTGATACAAAACGTTTTTTAATTTTTTAAGATTTATTTATTTAAGAGAGAGAGAGAATGCGTGAGAGTGGGTGGAGCAGAGGAAGAGTTAGAGAGACTCTCTAGCAGACTCCCCACTGAGCGCGAAGCCCCATGCAGGGCTTTATCCCATGACCCTGAGATTGCCTGAGCTGAACCCAAGAGTCAGACGCTTAACCAACTGAGCCACCTAGGTGCTCCTGTTTTTTAATTTAAAAATTTTTAAATTTAAGTATAATTAACATACAATGCTATAGTAGTTTCAGGAGTACAATACAGTGATTCAAGAATTCTATACATTACTCAGTGCTCACCACAGTAAGTGTAGTCACCATCTGTCACCAAACATTACAATCTTATTGACTAGATTCCCTCTGCAGTACGGTTCGTCTCTAAGACTGATTTATTTTATTTTATTTTATTTTTTTTTTTTAAGATTTTATTTATTTATTTGACAGAGAGAGAGAAAGAGAGCACAAGTAGGCAGAATGGCAGGCAGAGGGAGAGGGAGAAGCAGGCTCTCCCCCGAGCAGGGAGCCCGATGCGGGGCTCGATCCGAGGACCTCAGGATCATGACCCGAGCCGAAGGCAGCTGCTTAACCGACTGAGCCACCCAGGCGCCCCTGTTTTATTTTATAACTGGAAGTTTGTACCTCTTAATCCCCTTCATCTATTTCACCCATCCCCCCACCCAGTTCCCCTCTGGCAACCACTAGTTTGTTCTCTGTAATTAAAAGTCGGTTTTATGTCTCTTTCTATTTGTTTTGTTTCTTAAATTTTACATATAAAGCGAAATCATGTGGTATTTGCCTTTCTCTGTCTGACTTATTTCACTTAGCATTATACTTATAGGTCTATCCATGTTGTCGCAATATTCCATTGTATACGTGTACCACTTCTTTATCCGTTCATCTATGGATGGACATTTGGGCTGCTTCCATATCTTGGCTATTGTAAATAATGCTGCAATAAACATTGGGGTGCATCTATCTTTTCAGATTAGTATTTTCATTTTCTTTGAGTAAATACCCAGTAGTAGAATTACTGGATCATATGGTAATTCTAGTTTTAATTTTTTGAGGAACCTCCATACTGTTTTCTACAGGGGTTGCACCAATTTGCGTTTTCACTAACAGAGCACGAAATCCTTTTTCTCCACATCCTCACCAACACTTGTTATTTCTTGTCTTTTTGATTCCAGCCACCCTGACAGGAGTGAGGTAAAATCTCATTGTGGTTTTGATTTGCATTTCTTGATGATGAGTAATTTTGAGCATCATTCCATGTGTCTGTTGGCCATCTGTATGTCTTCTTTGGAGAAATGTCTATTCAGATCCTATGCCCATTGTTAAATTGGATTATTTGTTTTTTGGGTGTTGAGTTGTAGAAGTTTTTTATATATTTTGGATACTAATCTCTTGTTGGATATATCATTTGCAAATATCTTCTCTCATTCAGTAGGTTGCTTTTTCGTTTTGTTGATGGTTTCCTTTGCTGTGCAAAAGCTTATTTTGATGTAGTCCCAGTAGTTTATTTCTGCTTTTGTTTTCCTTGCCTAAGGACACATTATCTAGAAAAATGTTTCTATGGCTGATATCAAAGGATATACTGACACACATTGTTTTCTTAAATCAATGAAGATAGATTTATGATACACTTTCTTGCCAAAATATATGTGTTTGTAAAAGAATTGACTAGGGCCAAGAGTTCAATGTATAGCCGTAAAACAAAGTGAGCTAATGCCTAGTGTGGTAACAGAGTTGGCTATATTGCAAAAAAAAAAAAAAAAAAAAGATAAATAAAATATGCCTCAATCAAGAAAAATGCCCTTATGTTAAATAATAGCACATTATCTGAATTCTTATTGAAAGGACAGTCACTATTGGTTCAAAATGAATTTTGGAATATCGGTAAATTACATAATAATATTAACGTGCTGTTTTAGAAGCCTGAAAGGCCCATCCAGCCAAAATCCCTTCTCACAGAGACAAGAAAAACTATTTCCAAGAAAAGGTCATTTCTAAGGGAAACTGGAACCCTGGTGTCACATCACTCTTCCTGATTGACCCACCTCACTTAACTTTTCTTCCCCTTTCAACTTATTTATAATTAATATATCTTTATCCACCCTCTGGTCTTCCTTCTACTGAAAAAAATAATAATGAAAGCAAATTCTGCCAACATTTGGCCGTATTAAGTGCCTAACAGGAAGTCACTGCAGCTTCTTGCTCTTCTGCTGCTGGGTTCAGGCCCACTAACACCAAAGCCCCACAACTAATTGGTGTTGTGGTGACATCTAGTGGTTGGTCAAGATATTAGCTTTGCCTGCTTTGCCGCAGCAGCCCCACCCCGTGGTCCCAGAGGGACCAACCACACTGTGTCACCACACATGTGGTCATGTGGTCATGAGGAACACGGGTGCCCTCCTACCCGTCAAAGGGCCTCTTCCCCTCGGGCTGAATGTCACTGTCCTGTCAGAAGACCCCACGCACACACTGTAACTCCTAAGAAAAGATCTGTCCCAAGCGACCTTCTTTCCCCCTCCGCCCCCATTAAAAAAAAATCCCTTTTCTCAGCTGAGAATAAACAGCTAAAACAAGTCCATGGATGGGCTACAAAGGGGCTTGGAACCCACTGACTGTATGCAGAATGGAGTGAGTTGTGGGAGCACGTTTCTGGGGACGAGGTCTACAGCTTGCACCACATGTTCAAAGGAATCCATAACCTACAATAGTTCAAAACCCCTGAGTTAGAAGGAAAAGGATCAGAGTTTAAAAAATAAACAAAACCCAAACAAACAAACAAAAAATTTAAATTAGAAACACTGTTCACCAAGAGTCCAGGAAATATGTTACTATACACCTGTAGGGCTTTCAAGAAGGTCACCAGGTGGGATGTTACAATGTAGATGAAAACAACTAGTGGCATATGTCACTACATGGTATCTATGGGGTAAGTGATTTTTTTTTTAAGATTTTAGTTATTTGACACAGAGAGAGAGCGCACAAGCAGGGGGAGCGACAGGCAGAGGGAGAGGGGGAAGCACGCTCCCCGCTGAGCAAGGAGCCTGATTTGGGACATGATCCCAGGACCCTGGTTTCATGACCTGAGCCAAAGGCAGACGCTTAACCAACTGAGCCACCCATGCGCCCTATCAATAAGTGATAGGATTTTTTAAGTTATGAAAAATCTCGGAGATCACTGTAAATTAGAAGGTCTATTTGGAAGCCTGGGTAATAGATAAGACCCAGAGTTTGAAAATGTATTTGAGTAAGTGAAAGACAAGGAGAGGATATTCCAGATGGGGCCCTTTGGGAGTGAGCAAAGACTGAGAGACGAGAATGTGGATTCTGGGTTTCGATCAGAGGCAGAGCATTAGAAAAAGCAACCAACAGCACTTCATTCTCTGTGGTGAAGACATCTGCCTCTAGCATGCACCTGGCTGGCATCCCCCAGATACTGAACTGCGGTGGGGTGCGACCTGAGCTTCCTGCGTTTCAGAAGCTCCCCGGGCAACCCCAGTGCTCCACCAGGGCAGAGAACACTGCTTGAGCCTGCCCAGGTAATCTCTGTCTCCCACCCACCCTCACGTTGTTTTCCTCACCTTCGTGCTTACAGGCTTACAGGCTGATGAAGAACCAGCTGTGTGAAAACATGTGATTGTGTTGTTAATTAATAGGAGACAGGGTTAAAGAGGAGGTTAGAGCCAATCTAGGATGGATCTCGGATGTCAAGATAACAACAACCTGCTCATTAACCCAGAGACTTAAAGCAGCTCCAAGATAAAATTTTAGATGCTTGAACATAGAATGGGGGGAAGGAGTGGAAGCTGTGCAATCACATCCGAACAGTCCACCTGGGAGCACAGAAAAAACACTCCTGTATCTGTCAGTTGGTACTTACGGAACTCACTGTGAACTGAACACAGTGTTCATCAGGGACAATGGCATCGACACAAAGTAAAGGCCCCAAGAGCCCAAGAAGCACATTGCAGGCTACTTCAGAAGAGCGCACAAAGCCTTAAAATACACAAAAATATTTTATAAGAAAATATTCATGAGTGTAGCTACTTCTGGGAGATGCTGGTGTGAGAAGCCATCAGATTCTCAAGGAAGCCCCAGAAGTGTTTTCCTGCACAAGGAGTTTTAAAGTTTGATTTTGAAAGAAGGGAAATTATCCCTTGAAAAGAAGGGAAATTATCTTGAAAAATCAGGGCGCCTGGCCGGCTTAGTCAGTAGAGCACATGACTCTTGATCTTGGGGTAGTGAGTTCGAGCCCCATGTTGGGTGTGGAGATTACTTT